AGAGAGAGAGAGAGAGAGAGAGAGAGAGAGAGAGAGAGAGAGAGAGACCTTGAAAAATCAGATTCATGAAGGATGAACAGAGAGTAAGGAGGAGAAAGCCTGGGTCTGAGAAGGCTTGAGGGGCCTTAGGAAAAGACTCAAAACATTGCATCTGAATTCTAGGAATATCAGATGAGAGCTGGCGATTAGAGAAAATCTTTAAAATGTAATTAATTAGTAAGGACAGACAGAACTGTTCTTTCTGTCTGGACTTAGAAGAATTCAGGCCTTCAGCATTCCCAAGCCAGCTTCACTGTCCCTGGAACCCAGATGGCTGGGCTCATCCTCTGTCAGGAAGGAAGCCATGCCACTGACCCAGACCTCGGAGTCAGGTACCCCTGACTGAGTTCCCAGACTTCTGGGTTACCTTCAGGGAAGTGAGTGAGTTCCACACCCTAAGAACCAGCTGGACCTGAAATTTTACAAAAGCCCCATAGAAAACTCTGCCACGACCCCTCCCTGCCTCTGAGAGTGCTCAGAGGACCCTGGCATCCAAAGTCCCCAAGCCTTGTAATTATTAAGTAAAACAGGCTCTGTGGTGGAGTCATTTCCCGCCCTGGAAGCCACTTCGCTGGCATGGCCACCGCTTCCTCGTCAGACTCCAGACAATTCCCTGGACAGTTCTCAGTGCCCCACCCATGAAAAACCAGGAAAACCCTAGTCCCTCCCGCAAAGTCATCTCTCCTGTGAGCTCCAAAGCCCAAATCGTGGTCTGAAGACCATCCCAACCATGGCCACACACTCTGCTCTCTGCTCTCCTCGCTGCAGGGTGCCCTCTAAGCTGTGAAGTGTGCAAGGGCTCGGGACACACATGCAGCGGGAAAATGAAGACCTGTGATGCCGACAAAGACGCATGCGTGGTTCTCGTGAGCGAGTCCAGCACAAGTAGGAGGGTGTGGCTTCGGCCAAGAGGGTCGGGAGGGATGGATACCTTCAAGGTAGACGATACCAACCCCGTCGATAGGGGATGGTTGCAAGGAGCTGTGGGAGGAAAGAGATGGGAAAGATGTGGTGTGTTAGAAGCTATGGTCAGAGATTCTGAAACTGAGTGTGTCCTGAAGAAGGGAATATGGGAGAATGGAGAGATGAGGCAGCCGTCAAGAGCACTGGCTGTCCTTAAAGGGGACTTCTGTTCAATTCCCAGCATGGTGGCTCACAATAGTCTGTAACTAGAGTCCCAGGGGATCAGACGCCCCCTTCTGGCCCCCACTGGCACTGCATACTTGTAGTGCACTTACATACAGGCAGGCTAAATACCCATACACATAAAATAAAACGTGGAAAGGGGAGGGGAGCTGCTGAGGGAAAAAAAATGAGGGGACACGGGAAACTAGCAGGAAGCAAAGAGTCTTTTCTTTTTCTTTTAATGTTTTTACTTGTAATTACATGTATGGGAAGGCATTATGCAAATGAGAGCAGTGCTTGCAGAGGTGGGAGGGGAAGAGTGTTTGGAGCAAAAGTTCCAGGCAGTTGTGAGATACTGATGATGTGAGCTGAACTCTTCTGGAAGGGCGGTTGATGCTCTTAACTGGAGGGTGGGACAGAAACCTGGAAAGCCAGGAGGGGAGATGGATGGTGTTAGGGTTAGGGGAAACAGAAACCTGCCTGGAGGGGGACTGTAACCCAGGGGGATGGAGCCAATACATCCGGAGAAAGTAGAGATGTTGAGGAGGGGTGGGAAGCAGGAGGATATTCAGGAGCCTGAGACCAACCAGCTGGGCTATAGAACAAGAGCCCGACTTTTAAACAAACAAAAACAAGGGGAGGAAGTAGGAGGAAGGGAGGGAGAGAGAGGGAGTAGAAGCGGGGAAGGAGGGGAGGAGGGAAGGGAAGAAAAGAAAGGGGGAGCAGAGAAGGCAAGGAAGAGGACTGGGGAGGGAGAGGAGGGAGTGGGGAGTCTCAGAAGTACAATGGGAGAGGGGGACCCAGCCTCAATCAAAGAGAGCACCCCAGACCTCAGAGAGGAAGAAGAAATAGAGAACAGTGGGGTATGTTCATCCTTGGTAGAAAAAGCCTTAGTTCCAGGAGGGGTGACTTCCAGCTTGCAGAGGGACTGGAACAAATGAGGGTCATGTCATTATCTCTTTTAACATTAAGGAAAGTGGTGTGTGTGTGTGTGTGTGTGTGTGTGTGTGTGTGTGTGCATGCGTGCATATGTGTGTGTGCATATGTTTATGTTTGTATGTATGTGTGTGCGCATATTGTATGTATGTGCATATGTGTGTATGTGCGTGTATGTATGTGTGTGTATGTGCATATGTGTGTGTACATATGTGTATGTATGTGTACAGGTCAGAGAATAGCTTGTAGAATCAAATTCTCTTTCCACCACATGGGTCTCAGAGATCAAACTCAGGACGTGAGACATGGTGGCAGGCACCTTTACCTATTAAGTAAACCAACATCTTTGAGGGCAGGGAAATACCCACGCAGCTGCAGTGAGAGAGGAAGGTGGGCCTGAAGGCTGTGTTCAGCCAGGATTAGGTGAAGGTGGCCAGGGAAGAACGTGGGAGGACTGGAGGACTGTAAGCCAGAAGGGAGAGAGAGGAACCAGGTGCAGCAGCCAGGAGACCAGGAAGGGATAACCAAAATGTTTGGAGTATAGAGGGAGGAGCCTCTGGCCTGGAGAATTCAGGATGGGGGTGGCTGGGCTATGTCAGCCATACCCTGTAGCAGGTAGGGACTGAGGGATCCTGGGAGAACCTGGCAGCCAGGTCCAGCTTTGCTGTATTGAGTAGGCACTTCAGCCATTTGTCCCGGGTTTGACACTTCACAGAAGGTGGGGAAAGTCCACCTCACACAGGTACAGGGGTAGCTTCAGGCGGCTTGGGAAGAACTTGTATCCTTAGCATGGGTGAAGGAACCAGGTCAGACAAGCAGGGGGGCTACCTACCAGCCTCTGACACCAGGCAGATTGTGAATGTGACCTTTCTGAGCTGCTATAGGGTCAGCGAGACTGCTCAGCAGGTAGAGGGTCTGGTGTGGAACACTAAATTTGATGCCTCATCCTGCAAGATGGCGGAAAAGAACTGACCACTGAGAACTCTTAGCACACTCACTGGGGGCACATGTGCACATACATACACTATATATATGTGCATATATAGTGTATGTATCTATAGACAAAATTTAATGAAAATTGGTTAGTGTGTGTGTATGATCCATGGTGCTAGTCATAGGGACAGTCACAGAAATGAAAACCAGAAGAGATGGTGAAGAGAACATTGTAGATTGTCATCATCTGGCTCATCTTCTCCCTTCAAAGATTCCATGGCTTATTTCTCTGTTTCCTTGCTTACATTTCTGTTTGTTTGTTTGTTTTGTTTTTAAGATAAGTTTTCTCTATGTAACAGCCCTTGCTGTCCTAGAACTCACTCTACAGAGCAGGCTGGCCTTGAACTCACAGAGATTCACTGCCTCTGCCTCCCAAGTGCTGGGATTAAAGGCATTTGCAGCCACTGTCTGCCCCCCCCCTTACATCTTTTGGAACAATTTCATGTCTTCCTTTAGTTCGTTCGCCAACCCAGCTGAGCTTGAGTTCAAACGCTCTATCCCTAACACCATCATGTACTATTTATTTTTTGCAACTTAACTACGTCATAGCAAATCATTTCTTTCCCTTGAAGATCTTCTATTTCTATCTCTGCGGCTTGCCTGACTTTGCCAATGGCACAGCTGCAATAATCGTGTGAAAGGCCTAATGGTTCAGTCACATAGAGCTGTGTGCTGTGGTGCGAACCATAAGACCCTGCCAGGAAGCTACAACCCAAAGGTCCAACAGTGCTGTAACGTGTGTGTGTGTGTGTGTGTGTGTGTGTGTGTGTGTGTGTGCATAGCCACTCTGCCAGCAAGATGTTTAAGAGGAACATTACAGTCAGTGTTAGATATCAAGTCGGACACTTCTTCTCTTGCTATGTCTGCTAACGAGCAAGTGTCTGCCCACAGACTTGCTGCTACCATTCCAACATGTCAATCAACATCTAAAGCCTTCTCCACAGGTTTAGAGGACACTAGCTTTCCTATCTCAAAGACAATACTGTCTTTCCATCTACTCCCTACTATTCCCACAGCCTTCAGGGCGTTCTCAACTCAGAAAACTCTTCCACTGGGAGAGAATGAAGAGACTGGCAGGTCACCCAGTGCCAGTGGAGCACATGGTGCTAGCCAGGGGGCTGAGGAGCACGTCCAGGCCTGACGTCATACATGCACCTTATAAAAAATATACTTATTTTAGATGGGTGTGGTGGTGTAGGCTTTTAATCCCAGGACTCAGGAGACAGAAGCAGGTGAATCTCTGTGAGTTCTAGGCCAGCCTGGTCTACAGAGCAAGTTCCAGGGAAGGCAGGGTATGTAGTGAGACTCTGTCTCAAAAACATTATTTTATGTGTATGTGTACTTATGTCTACCTGTTTGTATGTGCAAGGAGGCCGAAAGAGGGCAACAGATCCCTGGAACTACAGTTGTAGACTCAGACGTGGGAACTGAGAACCAACCTTGGATCCTCTAGAACAGCACAAGTGTTCCTGACCGAGGAGCGATCCCTGCAGCCCTAGTGTGTGTGTGTGTGTGTGTGTGTGTGTGTGAGAGAGAGAGAGAGAGAGAGAGAGAGAGAGAGAGAGAGAGAGAGAGAGAGAGAGGAGTCCCTGTTGGAGGGGAGGGGAGGAAGTGGTTGATTCCTGTCCCTACTCTGCAGAGGGCCGAAAGTCAGTGAGCACCTTCAAGGCCTGCACGAAGTTTAAAGACTGCTACTCTGGCTTCGTATCTACCACCATGAGTCCCAATGACTACATGGTGTCCAACGCCCACTGCTGTCAGAGCGACGGTTGCAACAGTGTCTCGGTGCCCCGTAAGTGCCACCCCAACACAAGATGCCTGCCCTGTGACATCTGGCAAGCCCTTGACTGCTTCGGGTCTTCTGTTTCCTGACCCGCAAACTCTACCAACCCAACCCGGTGATCCCCAGGTTCCGAGGATGTTGGGGGTAACAATTTTTCCAATCTGCTTTATACTCTGTCATCATTCACAGTTCCCCATAACAATCGGACGGAGAACGGCCTGATGTGTCCCTCCTGCATTGTGCCCTTCCAAGAGACGTGTCCAGGGACTCAGACAGCTCGTTGCGTGGGCCCGGAAACACACTGCATCTATTTTGCTGGCAATGTGCAGGCTGGTGAGTTGGTGGATAGACTTAGATGGGGGAGGGGCGTGTGTCAGAAGCAGAGTTCCACACTTCCCCCTTTACAGGTGATGGGGGGGGGGGGAGTTCCGGAGAACTGGACAAAGAAATGATGGCGCAGGGCGGGGATGTGTGTGTTAGACTCCCGGGTCATGAAGAAGCTGACTCAGTCCTGAAATGTTGTCACAGGTATTATCAACACGAAATTTGCCACGAGAGGCTGTGCCACAGAGAGCGCCTGCCACACCAAGGCTGGAGCCGAGGTGCCTTCGGCTTCCTACCTCTACTTCCTGCGCCGGGCAGACTGCCTGCCTGCGCCCTACCCGCCTGGCAGGGGTGAGTGAAGACTAAGGAGTATGTGTTTTGCGGTCCCCATTTGTCCTCGGCCTGCAGCTGTTCAGGCACCCGTAAATTAAAACTGATGAACAGAGTAAACCTTGTGACCGGATGCATCCTGGGAGGGTGGGTGTAAACAGTACGGGTCCCATCCCAGCGTTCTTTTCTGACTCTTGCCCCTCTTTCCCCTCCAGTTCAAAGAAGGGAGGGTTTCTATGTGTGGTAACACAGACTGAGGCTGAGGTAGTTAGATCGTGAGTTCAGGATGAACTCGGTCAGCATAGCCAGACCCTGTCTCAAAAACAAACAGAAAAAGATCCAGGCAGTGCTGGCACACACCTTTAATCCCAGCACTGGGGAGGCAGAGGCAGGCGGATCTCTGTGAGTTCGAGGCCAGCCTGATCTACATAATAAGTTTCAGGACAGCCAGGGATCCACACAAGTAAGACTTGGGGTAGGAGTGGGGGGCAGGCCAGCCTGGGCTACAGGAGACCCTGCCCTTTAAAGAGAAAGAGGGTGAAAAATATGTGGTCCTTGCTTTTGAAGGGCAACATGCCAATTTCCTAAGTATGCTATCCTTTATAATCATGTTACGATCAGAGCTCCATGAACTTGATTTGTTATTTACTGCTATTGAGTGCAGTCCAGCCTCAAACTCAAGGCAAACAAACTCTGCCTCACCCTCTAGAATGCTGGGATCACAGCTGCGAACCCCACCCAGTTGAAATTGATATTGTTCCACTTCACAGGTGGAAACACTGAGGCAGATGGCGGCTGGCACTTGCCTTGAGTCAAACAGCTAGGATGGGCGAGAATCTTGATTTGAACCCTAGCCTGTCACACATTCCAAAGGCCGTGGCCATCTGTCCTGATTTGACTCTCCCTCTCTCACCTGTTTTTACGTGTGCAGTGGGTGGCTATTAATAGTGAGAACCCCAGGGTTGTTTTATGACAAAGAAGGCTACTTTAAAAGCACTTCCAGCAGTCGGTGCCACCTTTAAAGGAATGATGGCTCTTCAGACAGTATGTCTCAGTAAACACTAATCATTGTGATAGCTGCCACTTAGCATGGCCATTAGTTGGCAGGTGCCACTGTACTAACTGGAGCAGGCTACATTATGATACAGTAACAACTTCCTAATCTCAGCGGCTGAAAATAACAAAGGTGTATGAGTCAGCTGTGCTGCAATAACGCCATGTAACAAACCAGCCCCAAACTAAGACTTTAAGACAACACGCCTTCTAAGGTTATGTAGGTTGGGCTGGGATGGCTCCCCTAGCTGGTTTGATCTAGAACTGGCTCCTCTGTGAACTTCTGCGAATCTTCTGCACCAGTGGCTCACCAGATGTCCTCACGGCATGAGAGTCAAGTGCATATAAGGTATTTGTTGTTGTTGTTGAGGTTAGCTCTGGTAGCACCCCACTAAGGTGAGTCACAAGGCCAAAGCCAATGGCAACATGGGAGTTTCACTGCGAGGGAGGGCTGTATTTCTGCTGAATGAGCACCCATTCACAAAAGGCTGGTGCTTCCCTTCGCTCTACAAGTTTAGCATAATCCAAAGCGGGTTTCTACTGGTTCCAGGCATGGATCGGCCAATTTCTGTGCCAAAGGGAAGTACCTAGAAATGCCTTACCTGTATGATTAAACACTGTGTGACCCAGGAGTGGCTCAACACTCTCAGCTCCACAGATGGAGCTGATCACATGACCACACCTCACTGGAACCAACTCCTTCCCCAGTCAGAAGGCTGAGAGCTGGGTAGTTTCAGAAACAGGGGGTGTGCTGGCCTTTGAGAGGCAGCTTCTCATCTTTCAGGCTTCAGTCTGCACAGTGGTGCCACCATTCTCATCCCTGTTTTCAAGAGATGAGTCGAGACTCAGAGGGAGATGTCAATCAGTTTGAAGATCACAGAGCTCAAATGTAACAGAGCTTAGGGTTTTAGCAGGGCTTGGCATATAGTATATCCTTAAACCCAATGCCTGGGAGACTGAGACAGGATAAAGAACTGAAACATAGCCCAGGTTGCATACCAAAAGCCTTGATGAATTTTGTGTCAGTAGTAAGGATAGACTTACATCCTTGACTATGTTAGGAAGGTGCTCTTACCACTGAGCCATGCCCCAGCCCTCACTGGGGGATTCTAGGCAGGGGCTCTACCACTGAGCCACACACAAGCCCTCACTGGGGGACTGTTAGGAAACACATTGAGCTTTATCCCCAGCCCTCAGTCTGGGCTTCACATCATGACAGTGATGGCAGGGAGCCCAAGGACAGCCAGGGAGGAAACCCAGTTCCTAAGCACTTTTCAAGCTTCTGATTGCATCATGTTTGCTGTTGTCCCAGTGGCTAGAATCCAGAGTCAGGCTGAGAGAGCACATCCAAGTGCTTGTCCTCAGAGAGGCTGAACTTGGGAACAGTGGGTCAGGCTGGCTCCAGAGGTCAGTTGCTTGGCCATCACAAACTTGGAAGCTCTTAAAAATCACCAATTCACCAGGCAGTGGTGGCGCACACCTTTAATTTCAACACTGGGGAGGCAGAGGCAGGTGGATCTGTGAGTTCGAGGCCAGCCTGGTCTACAGAGTGAGTTCCAGAACAGTCAGGGCTACACAGAGAAACCTTGTCTCAAAAAACCAAAAGAATTTAAAAAAAAAAATCAAGTTCAAGGCTGGGGAGATGACTCACAGACGATAGCACCTTTCTCACCACACGCATACACACATGCTTAAAATTAATAAATCAAACCTTTAACAAAAGACACACGTAACAGGATTTCTACTCTTTTATTGTTTTTCCAAAACACACCACAGGTTGAGCAGACTGTTCGATTTGTCCCCTATTCCAATAGACAGTTCCTTCATGAGCCAGAAGTGTAGGACTCACTCTCCCCTAAGCCGAGGAGAGCATCTCATCTGCTCACCAATTTTTGGGAACCTGTTCTTCTGACAGGGCCAAAGCTAAGATTCACTGTACCGTTGCAATTCCAGCCTGGAGGGCTGACATTTCCCAGAATCCCTGTGTTCAGGCTCTTCCAGACCCCAGGAGCTTCATGGGATCACCGTGAAGGAAGACTGAGTCTTTTCTATTTGGAGGCCTTTCAGAGACAGGCAGCTCACTCTCAGCTTTACTTACACCCTGAAAAAGCCTAAAATCCTAACAAAAGAGTTAGGCAGCATATGTAGTCACTTACCCCTGTAACCCCAGAACTTCAGAGGCTGCTGCACAAGTTTGAAGTCAGTCAGCTATAGAGTAAGACATCAACCTACCTCGGAGGGGGAAGACCTGGTTTAGAACCCAGGATGGGAGAGGGACAGGAGGACGCCTGAGCTCAAGCATCCGAGATAGCCTGGACCCTCAAGTAACAATTACAACAAACTGACAAACCACCCACAGGGCACAACACAACAGCGCTGACCTGTAAGTCTATGGTGCTGACCAGCACAGGCAAGGGCTACACACGCTGCTTACTTCTGATGTGTCCAGCATGAGCCTGCTGCCTGGAGGAGCGAAGGAACAGTAGCAAAGCATAGAGCAGGGATGCCAGGAGGCACCAAAGTGAGGCACGGTCAGAGCTGGAGGACCAGGATTTCAAGGCCATTGCCAGCAAACCTACACTATGTCAAAATACCAAAACATAAAACAAAGGAGTAGAGTGCTGGCGAGAGTAGGGCACTGCATCGGAGTCACAGATGGCGCCAGGCTTGCTGCCTTCCTGTTCTCAGGGAAGCGGGGTCCAGACAATAGAGACTAACATCTATGTTCAAGGTCTTTCAGGAGCAGCAGCAGTACATGGGAGCTGTGTATGTGCTCCAGCATGCTCACATGCCAGCGTGCACGCTTGGATGCATACATGCACATACACAGCAAATTCTCAGCTACCTGCAGTGGTAGCTAACACTACTGACTTACAACCTACAGTCTCTCCAGACGTGGCTGTGGAGGAGTCTAGGCTAACTGAGGTGAGACCACATTCTGTTTGAGGAAGCATCCAATACACCGTGATCCTAAGGTGAAGTAAAAGGAGAAATCAAACTGAATACCAGAATTTCTCTCTCTGCTTCCCAAATGGGGCTGCAATGTGGCCACCTGCTTCGCTCTCCTGCTGACAGGACTCCATCACAGTGGACTGAATCCACGGACCCTGAGCTAAATATAATTTCTTTCATAAGTTGCCTTCCTTGGGTATGTTGTCACACAACAAGAAAAGCAATCAATACAGCTTGCTAGATGCCATTTGCTGGTGACTTGCCCGATATCCTCTTACCCAAACTCGGGAGGACCCTCTGCCCCTGGATCTTGTGCATAGACCTCCTTTAATCCTGGAGCCACTTCATATCTGTATTGTCACACACTGTGGCCACTAATCACATGTGACTAATGTCACTGAGAAAAGGCAATCTTAAATTTTATTTGTATTTGATTCATTGACACATCACAGGTTTAGAAAAACTATGAAGCCAGGAGGTGGTGCAGGCCTGCGATTTTAGTTACTCAGGAGATTCCCAAATTCAAGGTCAGTTCAGGAAACTTGAGACCTTGTCTCAAAATAAAAGATAAAAAGCAAGCTGAGGATGTAGCTTAGTGATAGAGCTCCTGCCTAGAGTCCATAGTGAGGAGCTGGGGGCATGGCACAGTGGTAGACACCCTGTCCAGAGCTCCCACCTCCACCCCCATGAAGGACTAGGGACACAGTTCCAGAATAAAGTGTTTGCCTTAAATATGTGAGGCACTGGATTCAAACCCCAGCTTTGGGGGAACCTATGAAACCTAACTGAGGTAACATGGATATGTGAATTAGATTCTCCACCTACAAATTCAAGTGTTTCCAATTAGGTGTGTCATGTGAGCTGAGATGTGCTCAGGTGTAAGGAACACATAGGCTCTCAGTGAAAAGAATGCCAGGCATCTCAATAAGAGCTTTAAAGTGGAGCCAGGTGCTGGGGGGTTCAGGGCTCTACTCCAAATACTGGGGAGGCTGAGGCAGGGGCAATTCAAGCATAAGAAGGACCTAGTATCAGGCTGGATGGGCTAGGCAGGGGCCAAACCACACCAAGTTCAAGGTTAGTCTAGACTAAATAGTGAGATCGGACACATAGCTCAGATGAGCCTGCAGCTCTCCATTGTCACTGAAGATGGCATTAAACTTCTAGTTTCCTGTCTCAAGTGCTGGGGTTGCATGCATGCACCTCCATATCAGGTGCCCTCTCAACACTTGTGGGGTAAATGGTGTCAGTGGTGAAAGTTTAAGGTTAGATGGGGGTGGTACCTGACTACGCAGCCTCAGAAGCTCTAATGTTTCATTTGGCAGATATATGGCACTCATTCAAGTGGTGACAGTGACCAAGCCCTGCCTGATCCCTGTTTACTCTCCCACTAGGTGCTCACTTCTCCCTAGCTTGTCCCTATTTGTAACAAGATATTGACCACCTGAATTCCAGGCCACATGCCAATGATCAATAAACTAAAATACTAAACACTAGGCACCTACCGTGTCAGGCACTGCTCTGGGTGCTAGGGTACACCCAAGAAAAGGACAGGCATGGGGCAAGAGCCAACAATCAGGTGAATGAAAGAATGAACAAATAAATAAAGCCATCATTGACATAGGAACAATCAAGTGGCCGGGGTCAGTGTAAGCTACGTGGGGTGATCAGAAAGCTTCTAAAGGGGTCATTTCTGGGAGATCTGATAGATAAGGACCCAATTTCAATTTCAAAAAAAGATGGGGAGGCAGAGCAGTCCGCAGAAAAACAGAAAATTCACAAGTCCTGAGGTGGGACCCAGGCATCAGAAAGACAAACCAGGCTTGCTGGAGATGGGTAGGGAATGAGAAGAGGCAGGGGCCAGGTCACACAGTGCCTTGCTGTGTCGATGAGCCTCTGGCCTGCATCTCTGAGCCTGGTGGTCCCATCTACCCAGTCCTCCTTTTCAGTTTTGACACTGAAGAACCATACGGTGGCACTTCCCACCTACACAAAGCTGACAGCACTGTGGTTTCTGCCTTTGCCTCACTCCTGGTACCTTCCCAGAGAAGTCTAGACTGCTACAGCAGGACCCCCCTGCCTTTCCAAAACAGCAAGAGCGAAGCTCTCTGAGGCCCAATAGTTAAGGCCGTTATGACAGAAGAAACCAGTGATAAACTAAAGCGGAGCAGACACATACATGCCAGAGACTCTGAATCACCCAGCACCTATAAAGTGGGGGCAGTGACACCCCTTCCCAGGAAAGCACGAGAGACAGTTGCCAGGTTCCTGGTTCATCAGGGGCTCACAGGAGGTATTTCTCAAGTGTGGGTTTCTATTCTTCCATAACGAAAAGGCCCCATTCCCAGACTCTGGCTATCAGAAGACCACCATGCCTAGACCTCTTGTTCCTTCCCTTCAATTTTGTGGGACAACGTTGTCTATACCAAAGCCTAGAGAGCAAATGGTGGACGAACCTCCATTCTCCATGAGACCACGGCGTCTCTACAGGATTTCCCACCACACAGGAATTGACAATCAAAGTCCCACTTCTTAAGAACCAGCATTTAAGACTCTCATGGCTCCTGAAATGAAGGTCCCAAGTCCGTTTGGATCCCGAAAACCTGTTCTTTCCGGGGCAACTTACACATCTTGTTTCCCATTGGGACCCAGCACTCCAAGGGGTCTAACTCCCTATAGTACCAGGCCCACAGCCATAGGTCCACTCACAGGCAGTAATCTAGGCTTAAAAATCTAGGACCAGGTGCCAGTTAGAGGCCAAAAGGCTCCCATTTCTAGGAGCCCAGGCCCCCAACTCCCTTCACTGCATTAGCGTCTGAATGGCAAACTAATGGCGCTTAGACCCTACTCCCATTCATAACCCAGGAAATCAGGTGACTGTATGTCGCAGATTTCAACAAGAAGTCAGTCTCCTTCAAGTCCCCGGGTCTGAGTACCACCCCTCAATCTCAGAGGCTGTGGGGCCAGAAACCAAGTCACCAGACACCCCAGCCCCTACCACACTCCTCATTGGTTGGGCTCTGGGTGTCCCAGCACCACCTCAGCATCAGCCAGCATCTCATCCAGGGCCTGCAGCAGTACACCGTGAGCAGCACGGTAACCCAGCCCACCTGTCGCTGCTGCGCCACCCGCGGGCCATAAGAAGGAGAGTGCGCCCAGCGCCGCGCCTCCCGCTGTGCCCTCGCCGGCCCAGGACCCCAATCTGGCCTCCACCTCAGCGCGTGTCACTGGGCCCGGGAAGCGCGTGCGCGCGGCCAGCACTCCAGGAGCCAAGCCGAGGGCGCGCTCACGGCGTGCCACTGCAGTTGGTTCGAGGCCCAGGGCGCGCCGCCACTCAGCCAGCTGTCCCCGGAGAAGAGCCACGTCGCAAGCCCAGCCCAATCCTGGTACTGGGGCGGCCGCCGCCGCCAGGCTGGCCAGCAGGGCTGGCCTCCACGCTCCTGCCCGCAGCGCCGCCGCCTTCCTCCGCGCCGCCTGGGGACTTGAGGGTGGCAGCGCCAGCAGAAGCGCCCCGGCCTGAGCCGCAGGCAGTGCACGCTGCAGCCAGGTTCCCAGCCCCGGGAGACCACCTAGGCGCAGAGGGAACACCGGCGGAGGCACTTCCTCCAGCACCTCCCACTGCTCATCTTCCGGGCTCCGAGGAGCCGTGGGTCCTGAGTCCCCGGAGCCAGGGTTTTCTTTTCCTTCGCTGCGTGCATCCCCTGACTTCCCGCCGCTTGCATTCTCGAGCTTCTCAGGTTTTTCTTCTTCCAGAGCCTCGGGTGGATCCTCGCCCTGGCCGTCCGTGCGCACACCGACGAGTGGAGTATCTGGGGACACCAACGAGCGGACCTGGGCCCAGTTCTCTTCGGTGGGAGCCCCAGGAGTAACGAGGATCAGGGCATCATAGTGGGTCGGGTGAGGGGGGGCGGGAGGGGATGTGGCCGTGGAGCCCAGGGGAACGGTCCAGAGCACCACGTTGGGGCGCTCTGGAGCCGGATAAGGGGTGGGTCCAGTGGGCTCCGAGGCAGGCGCAGCACCTGGGTCGCCAGGATCCAGGCCCAGTAGCATGTCCAGCACAAGTCCTACATTGGCAGCGCCGGCCACCGCCAGGTCCAGTCGCGCGCTGCCCAGGCGCTCAAGGCCAGCTCGCACCCACGATAGTGCCGCCTCCAGGCCACCGGTCTCGAAGGCCTCGCGCACAGCTTCCAGCTCTGCTGCGCCCAGCACCTCGAAGCCATCCTGGGCAGGTGGCAGGAGCCTGCGGGGGTGGGAAAGGGAGGGAGGGAAAGGGTCAAAGGCAGAAGAGCTTTAAAAGCAGGAAAAGCTGGGCGAGCAAGAACCTGGCCATGGTTATATTTTAAAAGAAAAAAAAATCTTACTGAATCCCAGGAACTAAAGCAAATAAGAAACCAGGTGGGGCGGGGCCATAAAGTTAAGGGACGGTCTTAAGGGCTACCCGGAGGTCTGGATACCACAGGTAAACTTAAGGTCAGGTTTTCAACAGAACCGAAAATGAGGACTCTATCTTCCCTGATACAACCCTCAGGACTAGGGAAGTCTTCTAGGAGGTGGGGCGGACGTAAAGGCAAATGTGTTGTGGCTTAAGGTGTCCCCAAAGGCTTTTTTCCTAAGGGTGGATGTTAGGAAGGGTGTGTGAGGGGAGAATTCATCTAGGACTGGTGGGGCAGGTGACGCTAGTAAAAGAGAAGTGGATCCTGGGCAGAGGCAGCCCCTTCCTGATTCATAAACTGAGGCAACTGGCAGCTGGGGTAGGGTGGGTTCAGGAGAGAGTCAGTAGGCAGTATGCATCTGAGAGGGAATTGGGGAATGGAGGAGCCGGGCGACCAATCAGAAACAGAGCTCCTTCCTAAAGTGTTTGGTGCTGAAGGGAGGGACGGGGGTCACTTGAAAACCAAGTTGATGAGTAAGAGGGTGCTGGAGACTCTTCGGGTAAAATCTTCGAGGGACCACAAATGTCACAGAGTCCAGCACTTTGTCTGTAGACAGTATTTGCACATGTCTGGGCCTCTTCTCAATTCTCACCAGCGAGGGTGCCTGTGATGCCAGAGAGCTTACACGAGCTAAGATCTTTGTGGCAGGCCTTCCAGTTGACCCTTAATGGGTGCATGTTTTAAATAACAAAAAAGGTAAAAAACAAATAAACAAACAAAAACAAGCCCTCAGTCCTCGTATACGATGAAACGTCCCTGATCTCAAAATATGTGTTCATGGGTGGTTGGGGGAGTCTAGACAAAATAAATATGGAAAAATAGACAGCCAATAAAGTCTTGCCTCTGACTCTCTAGGAACAGGGCTCGAGAACATTAAAAGACCACGGTAGCCAAGCTGAGTCTAAGCTAAAGACATCAGGCCACCCCACCCAGCCCAACCGTTGCCTCACCTCTGCAGCGCCTCCGCCTGGGTCCGCAGCACCACCTGCAGGCGCTCCAGCTCCTCGCAGCGGTCACTGCTGCTGCAATCGGCCGGTAGCACAAAGAGAGGAGCAGCTCCCAACCCAGCACTGTTCAGCAAGGCCGCAGTTTGATCCCGGGCCTGAGTTTCATTCTGGGAATCTCCAGGACGCAGATTCCGTACAGCCAGCAGCGGGGTCCCTCGAGCCAGGGCGGCCCGCGCTGCCTCTCCCAGGGCCGGGGTCAAGGGCTCCTCGGTCCCCTCAGATCCTGGTAGAACCAATACCAGCAAGTTGGCCTCCGCCGCCCAGGGACCTGGAGCTGCGGGTGGGCAGCTCAGCTCGCCTAGGAAGAGGCCTGGGGCCGCAGCTCTCAGAACGGGGACTCCAGAATCCGGTCGTCCTTCAGGAATCTCTACCGTTTCCACATTCTTGCCACATAACGCGGAGATCAGCGCGGACTTTCCCGAGCCCGGAGGCCCCAGGAATAAGGCAGTCACATCACCCTGCGGCAGAGGCATTGCTGGAAAGCAAGAGGTGGGGAAACACAGGGGTCAGGGCCACGCGAAACCTTCTGTTTTGTTTTCGTTTGCTTTTTTTTTTCTTAAAGACAGGGTCTCACTGTGTAATCCTGGCAGGCCAGGACTCAAGAAATCCTCTTGCCTCTGCCTCCCAGAATGCTGAGATTAAAGGCGTGCGCCACCACGCCCAGCAACACCCTTTCCTAGCTGCCCCTCTGTAGAGCCAGACTTCACTCCTCCGGTCTGCCCTCTATTTCCATTCTCCAGTGTGGTCTGTAGGACCTAGAAACCCAACGTCAAGGGCTTATTCCCTGGAGAGCTAGGTGTCTGTCCATTCTCCACACGAACGCATTTCTCTTTCTATTTCAAAAGAAAAGCTCAGAAATCTGGCTGCAGTCTCTCGGGGACCCGAGGATGGCCCTCCCTCTCCCCGTTCCAAATCACCAACCGACAAAGTGTAGACACGCTGGGAGAACAGAGGGAGCCCCGCCCCTTAAGACGAGCTGATGGAGGCCGAAGGGGTCGGAGAGTCAGGATTCAGAGACATTCGGACGCCTTCGGGTGGCTCTATCTTGACGTCATTCCTTCCAAGACCGGGTGTGTCTTGGAACGCCGCCGCGGAGAGACAAGTTCTTGGCAGCACTCAGCACCCAGGACGCTCTCTCTTCCTAGCTAAGGCTGTTTGGGCACTGGAACAATGTAGCCCGAGCGCGTGCGCAGAAAGCTTAGTGGGTGGTGCTCCCACCACGACCAGCAACCAAAACGCCTGCGCAATGAGTATAGGCTTGTACGGCAAAGAGAACAAGAAGCTATGCGTCCGAGCAGTAAGCTTCGAGTTGTACGGAACACACTACGAACGTCATCATCACGCTCCCAAGTACAGGGAAGGACCTCTCCACCTGCTATTCCCAGGGCCTGGCTGACTGACTGTGCTATTGCCGAATTGCAACCTTGAACCTGACTGGGAGACACGGACGGGGCAACAGACCCGGAGATCACTAGAGTCTGAAGACTGGAAAGAGCCTACCCCGCTCTCCTCCGGTAGCCGCGCTGTGGCGATCGACTATCAGGCGCAGTTAAGGGACAGTCCTCTTGCTATGAGGAAGAAGCTCTAGAGGGCGCAGCGAGCTTGGGGCAGAAGGCAGTGCGTGGGAGCAGCGCGGTCCAAAGACGAGCTAGAAGCGAGCGAGGGCGGCGGTGGCTATGGGTGTGACAGGACTCACAGACGTCAGAGAAGGGTGTCTCTTGGGAAGAGGCGGACTAAAGTGTGAGCGCCACTACTTGTCTGGAGCCTCGTGAGAAACTAGGACAACGCTGGTATGAAAGATCAAGGGTTCCATCTTGTCAGGGATTTGTTTTGGTGAAGATCAGAGGTCACAGGGACTTGAAGATCGAAGTGTCAAAAACCCGAGTCTCTCGTATGAGACGGGTGAAGCTTTTCTAGTGAGTGTTATCAGAGTTCAATGACTGTTAAAAAAAAAAAAAAAACCAGCAGCCCTCTAGGGCCGGCGACCCATGTGCAGCCTCACCCATTGTTTTTTTTTTTTTTTGTCCCCCTGTTCTTGACCAGAACATGGGGACCATCACTATGAAGAGACCACGGAGCGGCAGGCTTCTGCAAGGAGAAGGAGGCAACCTCTTTGAGTACTTGCTGGGTAGAGGGGTGGTGCAGGAGTGACACTAAAGGGACCTCTGCATCGGAAGTGGCTACAGTGACCCTAGCTGGCTAGCTATGTCCCAGAAATGGCCTCCTCTCATGATCAGATGAACCCTGTTCTGAGGACAGGCAGAAGCAGGATGCCATTCGGAGGGATAAGGGGATTCCAGGTGAGATTGGGATTGTGACATTGTGACTTGAGAATATCCTTACTGGGCATGAGTCCCCAAGAGTCTTGGCCCAACTCGTCCCTAGACTGGTTTTTGTTTTTCGAGACAGGCCTTCTTTGTAGCTTTGGAGCCTGTCCTGGAACTCGCTCTGTAGATCAGGCTGGCCTTGAACTCACAGAGATCTGCCTGTCCTCTGCCCCGTCGCCGCTCCCCCCCAGTGTTGGTATTAAAGGTGTGCGCCACCACTGTCCAACTAATCCTTAGACTTTCAATGTGGCTGGGCTTCAGTTTCTTATATCAAAAAGGTGCAATAACCAGCGGTGGTGGCACACACCTTTAATCCTGGCAGAGGCAGGCAGATCTCTGTGAGGTCAAGGTCAGCCTGATCTACAGAGAGAAACCCTGACTTGAAAATCATATATATATATAGCCAGGTGGTGGTGGTGCACACCTTTAATCCCAGCACTTGGGAGACAGAGACAGGCGGATCTCTGTTCATATATATATGACATATATATATATATATATATGACATATATATATATATGACATATATATATATATATATGACATATATATATGACATATATATGCAGAGACTTGTGCATGCTATGCAGGGGCTCTACCACTGAGCCATACCCTTTGTCCTTTAGGAGGTAGTCTCTAGGCAGGAAGTGTGTTAAATAGAATTGGTAGTTTAGGGTTGGTAGTGTTAGCACACGCCTTTAATCCGAGCACTGGGGGGCGGGGGGGGCAGAGGTAGGCAGATCTCCGAGTTCAAGGCCAGCCAGGGCTACACAGAGAAACCCCATCTCGAAAAACCAAAAATAAATAAATAAAATTAAAGGGTGGTGTTACAGGATTAGGTTTGTGTGGCCTTTAGGAAGAGTTCAAAGGAGAGGGTCATTGTTCAGGATGCAGAGGCATCCATGATTGGATTTTCTTTTTCCTTTTTGTTCTGTTTTTCTGAGTCAAAGTCTCAGTAGCTTGGCGCAGTGCTACAGCGTCTGCAACTGACTGCTCCTGAGACAGTAACAAGCAGCTCAGACATCTGGGAGCCAAGTGTGCAGCCCTGACTGTCCTATAGACCAGGCTAGCCTTGAACTCAGAACTGCCTCTGCTTCCCAAGTGCTGGGACTAAAGATGCTTGCCACTGCACTTGTCAGTGATTGTAAGCCTGACCCGGGAGGGAGGGAGAGGGGCTGAAGCTGAGGCTGGTACAGCAGCAGTCATGCGCATGGCTTGGGCAATATTCATTCTTGTCTGGCTCCCATCGTAGCCTTGTCTTTAACTAACGTTTTGTGAAATTGCACCTGTTCTCTAGACAGGCCTACGGGTGTCAGCTCCCAGGTGTCAGGGCTGCCTGTCACTGTCTCAGGAGCAGTAATTGCCGACATTGTAGCATTACAATGGTATGGAGTTGCTAAGATCAAGACCCCAGTTTTTGGATGATGAAACTTGTCCTTGCCTAGAGTGTGGAGATTCGCCTCAGGCAGTGTCTTGATCACCGTGCAAACCGCTTTGTCAGACAAGCCGACTTTGGGTTCTAAAACTGGCAGCACCCTTTCATTTCTTTGTGCTTCAGTCTGCTCATCCACACACAGTCTAGTCATTGGTGATGGCTGGCGTGGTTCCAAGGCCCAGGACAGGGCTTGGAGATTCCTCCTGGCCTTGCCCCTCGCTTCTCCCCATATTCCCCAGGTCACGTAGGAGTTCCACAGTGCACCCACTGCCTCATCACCTTCACCGATGCCAAGTTCCTGGAGCATCACATGACGAAAGAGCACCTGGAAGACTTTACAATTCATAAGCAGGAGGCCTTCTTCATTCTGCTTCATCTGTGCCTGCTCACGCCCCTCCAGCAAGGATCCACCAATGCAGCTATAGTCCTACCACCAAGCCCTCCCCATGGTGCTCACCCAAGACCCAGTAGACCCAGTCTGCTTCTCCGGCAGCACCACCAGGTCCATGATACCCACACCACCCCTAGCTCTGTAAGACTTTAAGACAATTCTGAAGCCATTTCTGACAATTCCAAACCCTCTCAGCCTCCATGCCTTAGTGCTTCCCCTCCTCCCCTGGGAACCAAGGACCTAACAGCTACACATGCACGTACTCAGTTCCTGAACAATTACCCATACACGTATGTTTTGACTCAGTCCCCTGGCAAACGGGGTCAAAATGACCTCTTACCTCATCTGATCTGACAGTAGCTCTCCATCCAATTATTGGTATTAACCCTTTTCGAATAAGCCAATCATAATGGTCAAGGAACAACCCCCTTGTTTCTATGGGGCCTTCTCCTTTAAAAGTAGACTGTACCAGCTATTCGGGGTCTCTCGGCTTCGCGAATGCTGAGGGACCCTGTCATGACAGAATTAATAAAATCCTCATGCTTTTGCATCGGCTGTGATATATGAGGTGGTCTCTGGGGGCGACTCCTTCTCGGTTTGAACACTAGAGTCCAACAGCTCCTTTGTCTGGACTGAGTGTGGCCAGGATATTGCCCAGAAAGCAGGGCACCATCAATACTACAGCGGGCATGCTTAGGGGAGCTCTGAATCGACGTGAGCCCTCTCTTCAGTGATGGGGCTCTACAGCTGGGGGATCCACCCATATAAGGTCAAGATCTGGAAGGATTTAATTACCCTGCCAGGAAGGCACAAGTCGAGTGTCACATCTGCAGTTTTTGGAGAACATAGGGTCTTTCCAGAAGCAGAGGCATCGGATAAATAGACGCATTGAGAAATCAAGGAAGAAAAATTGCTCCTATCTTCCCCATTCCCAGTTAAATAGCTTCAGATTCTATAATCACCTTTAATTTTTCCCAGATGGATGCCAGAGGCTGCAGGAGGAAATTACCCTGGCTTGGTGCCTGAGTGGGGGCAGGGAAGGGAAGTGCTGCTAGCCTGCAATGCTGGGTGAGTTCCAGACCTGCATCGGGACTTTGGAGATGGGCAAGGAAGAGCGAGCTGGACCCTGAGGTACGGGGATGGGGTGAGGGGCCTACAGTTTTAGGCCCTGTCTCTTCCATCCCTATGCCAGTTTTCCCCAACTCAGAGGGGCAAGGGTGTTGCAAGGTACTACCCACTGCCAGATAATTTATGCCCTATTTTTACTACTTTTGCTCTAGTGATGGGCTATTTTTATATGCACAAATGAGGTGCCATGAGTAAACCAACAGAAAGGGTGTCTAAAAACCAAACATCCATGTTAAAATATCTAAGGAGAGAGCCCTGGCTTTTGAGTGGGAACTGCTGGGGAACATATGGAAGTTGGGAGGAGGGGGCACAGAGCAGAGCTGGCCCAGCCCTGCAGAAAAACTAGTTTGGAATCAAACAGAGATGCCTTCTGCTTTGTGTTGCATTTGGCCAACACTGAGATTTCCTGTGGAGGCCCTGGTTATGGCTTTCCTGAAAGGTCCAGCGAAAACTTTAACTGTTATTAGGGGCAGAGTAGTGGATGTCATCCTTGCCCTGGGAATGAGTCCTACTAAGTCTGTATTATTCCTGAGGAATGTTTTAAAAGCCCAAAGGTGCACGCCTGTGAGTTTGAGGCCAGCATGCTCTACAAAGTTCCAGGATAGCGAAACCCTGTCTGGAAAACCAAAAAGGCCACAGGTGAAGTGAATGTGGTAGAAATGATTCCTGTCAATTTTTAATGAGCCAAACAAAAACACACTTTCCAGATTCCCTTGCAGCTAGCTGTGGCACTGTGACCAAGGTCTGACTAAATTTCTGGATAAAGTTCCCAAGTTTGGGAAAGAGACTTACCTTTCCTCTCCCTTTCTCGGTGGAATTAGACGTGGTTACCCAGCAATCTTCACTATAAAGTCAAAAGCAACAGAGAATGGCAGAGCAACAAGATAGGAGGAGCCTGGGCTGCTACAAGCATTTGTTACTATGTAACAGGCACAGGAACTTCTGTCTTAATTAAGCTGCCATTATTTTAGGTCCCTGTCCCATACAGGAGAGGTCACAGCAGGAGGCAGGTGTCAATTCCAGCTCCTTGTCTAGTTCCTGGCTTCACCTCAGACCAGTTTCTCTCTGTTAGTATTCAGGCATCTGTACTGACCTGCCCTTGGGGTTCTGACAGGATAGTCCTCAGCTGTAGCCACTAAGAGCACCTCCTCTGTAACATTGATATCGTTCCCTTTTAAAAGGTCCTTGCCCACCTCCTACCTCTTTTTCTCTGTCCCGTCTGTCCCTGCTTCTCTGCCTGTCTCTCCCCCTTCTCTCTTCTGCTGCTTCTGTCCCCCGCCCCCTTCCCTCTTTTTAGGTTCCCTTTCCCCTAAAACCCCTCCACGTAAATTCTGTCACATGGCATCTTTCTCTCTTGTGCTGTTTTTTAAAATTATAACACCCTTGAGTCTGGACAGCAATTCTCACATGGAAAATGTCACCTCCTGCTGGTGTGTGGGATGTGTGACAGGGTTAGCCTGGAGCTCTTTTTCTGGGGCGATGAATGGGAAAACAGTTGTGCAGTCATTTGGCTAACACTTTTTTTTCCTCCAAGACACCAAGTATACAGAATACTTTCACCAAGTATTTCCTTTAGCACCTGGTGAAAGCCTTGTTTCTGCCTCAGGTATTCTCCCAACCCCCGCACTTGCTTCCTTGACTCCAAACAGATAAAATCTCATGTGTTCTCCCAAGATGGTGACCCGGTCAGGTACAACCCTCAAAGCCCTCAGATGTCAAGGTTACCAAGGCTTGTAATGGCATCAATGGTGGTCTCTGAGTTTGTGTCTACAGCCCAAACCCCATGCATGAGGTACAACCACCTGAATGACAAAAGACGTAAAATGGACTGGTATGACTTCTGCAGTCTCTGGTCAGCTCAACTCCCACCATACTGGTGAGCTAGGCACTCTACTGTGTTCAGGCAAATTCTCATGCAGTGATATATCCCCGATTCCTGGATGACCCCCTTCCCACCACAACCCACTTCCAGTCTCTGCTAAAGACACACTGTATTGACTTAGGGAGTCCACTGACACCCTATGTATAGCAACTGAAAACTTTACTTGTGAGGATCAAGCAGTCACCTCCCTCTCAGCTGTGCAATCACTGTTTGATGTGGGACTCCCCTCTGTATGCTGCAAAGACATTTTATTACCACTGGTTAATAAAGAAGCTGCCTCGGCCTATTGCAGGGCAGAATATAGCTAGGCTGGAAGAGATAAATATATAGAGAGTAGATAGTCAGGGGGACACCATGTAGCTGCCCAAGAAGCAAGAGGTAACAAACCACAACCCTCGTGGTAAAATATAAAATAAAAAAATGGGTTAAGATGTAAGAGCTAGCTAGAAATACGCCTGAGACATCATTGGCCAAACAATATTGTAATTAATCTAGTTTCTGTGTGATTATTCGGGTCTGGGCGGCTGGGAACAAAAGAACAGTCTCTGGTTACAATTCTTTCCTAACCACACCCACACCAGGCTGGGTTCTGCCCCAGGACCTTTTGCACTTGTTCCCTGTGCAGTCTTCTTACTGCGGCCCTCTGCAAAGGACTCACTGCTGCTCAGCTCTCAACCCTTGCCACCTCCTAAGAGAAGTCTCAGCCTGCTCAGCTGAGGGACTTGCCCTGGCTTGCCCCTTACCCTAGTTTCTCAGCAGCACTCCTCAGGGCCTGCAGCCAGTTTTGGGGGGACTTCTTATAATTGAATTGAAGCTCCTAGGGGTAAGAAATACCATGTCTCCAGCCTTCACTGCCTCACTCCAGTAAGAGAGTGTGCAGGGTGCAGTTCAGCATGCACTCTTGACTGGGTCATGGCTGACTTAGGGCTCTAGCTGGAGGCCAGCCTTCCAAAGAGCTCAATGATAAGGCTTTCTGCAAACTGTCAGCTTCAGTTCTGAGCTTGAGGCAAGGACAGAATAGGAGAGGGCCAGAAAACTTGCCTGCTTGGGTGTGATAGCAGTGGGCTAAGGACATTAAGGTGACCACAGCAGCCATGGGGTCTGGAATAGGGTACCTTACCTCTCCAGCAACGTTTGAACGCCAGCACCTTTCTGGACTCTGAACACAAGAGCCACCGTGTGGCTTTTCTGAGGTGGAAGCACTAACCAATTGATCACTGTCTGCCCAAACTGCACAGGGCTTGACCCCACCCCCATCCTCTTGCTATCCCAGTCAGCCCTACAGTGGAACAGATTTTTTTTTTTTTACTTTCTAATTTTATGTGTATGGGTATTTTGCTTTCATTTTTTTATTTATGTATTTTATGTAATGGGTGCTTTGTATGCATGTCTGCATACTAGAAGAGAGCATTAGATATTATTATAGACAGTTGGGAACCACCATGTGGGTTCTGGGAGTTGAACTTAGGACCCCTGGAGGAGCAGCCAGGGCTGTTAATTACTGAGCCATCCCTACATCTGGGGGACTTTGCTTTCATGTGTACCACATGCATGCCTGGTACCTGTGGAGGCCACTAGAGAGCACTGGATTCCCCGGTAGACTGACAAGCAGTTGTGAATACTGGAAACCAAACCCAGAACTTCTGCAAAAGTACTTTTAAAAAAATGTATTATGTATAGTATTCAGCCTGCATGTATGCTTGCACACCACATCTCATTACAGATGGTTGTAAACTGCCATGTGGTTGCTGGGAATTGAACTCAGGGCCTGTGAAAGAACAGACAGTGCTCTTAACCTCTGAGCCATCTCTTCAGCCCTAAGTTGCACAGGCTGCCCTTAAACTTGGGGTCCATCTTCTTCTGTCTCTGGAGTAGCTGGTACCACAAGCAGGCCTGTTTCTCTAGGCCCCCAATCCTCCTTTCCCCCAAGTCTGAGCTTTGAGCACTGTCACCTGCATTCTGTAGGTC